GGCGACAAAGCAAGAAAAGAGTTTTTGTTTGTTGGAATATGCGAGATGTTCGTCTGTTATAGCAGTGCAACGCGCATTCAGTTATGGTTGTTTCCACAACTGGCTGCTGATTCCGGGGATTTTGTCTTCCAACAAGACGGGGCACCCCCTCATTGGAACATCAATGTTCGTCGCTACCTAAACAATGAACTTCGGCATCGCTGGTTTGGGCATGTTGGTGAGAATGACGTAGATCTGTACACTTGGCCCTCCAGATCACCTGATCTAACGCTTTGTGACTTCCTCCTTTGGGGGTACATTAAGGATCATGTTTACATACCCCCCACTGCCAAGAACACTACTAGAGCTGAGGGAACGCATCGATGCTGCAGTGATGACCATTGACAAAATAATGCTACAAAATGTGTGGAATGAGCTCGACTACCGCCTGGACGTGTGTCGTGTGACCCATGGGGCACACACAGAACATTTGTAGTGTGTTAAGAAAAGTTGGTAAGTTTACGGTTCTTTTTATATATCAATCATATTTGTACATATAATGTTTTGGAAAATATAGCGTTTTAAAAACGAAAGAGTCATTTATAGTAACCCTGTACTTTGGATCTAACAATTACATCCTTACTTTAGGAAGAAGATTATGTTATATAATTACTCCTGTTTCATTACTAAATAATACAAATGTAATCTGGACTTCCTTCTTCATATTACATATTAAAATTGCAGAAACTGTACATCAACATTCCAGTTATGAATAAAGAATCTTTCTTTCCCACTTCACACATTTTTTTGTTCAAATTATTATATTCAAAGTAGCAGAGTCTTTCAGTGTTTACTACCATGTTGAACCAGTGACGAAATTGACATACACATTCAGTATGGATGGAATTTTAATCGGCAGGATATAAGTAGGAGCTTCCTTATAATTACCAGAACACACATAGAGTTGCAATAAGGGCAGGCTCTTTACATTATTAACCTGTCCCCCGGTAAACAATCCTCATAGCTTCTCTAATTACATCTTATTAAATGATCTAGAAACACTATATAGGCTTCAATTTTGATTGTCATCCAAATGTCAACTAATTAGCATTCCTTTCACTTCAGCTGAAGAAATTTATGATGGTATATTTACTGTGAATGTTATTATTAGTTTGTGTCGTGTACTGTGCATTGACATGAATGATCAGACAGCAGTAAATGACAAGATGAAGTCTCAGACTTGTGTTGACACTGTGTTGTGATAAATTAATATGCAAGGTTTGTAAATTAGCAGCAAAAGTTGCATGCCACCCAGTTAAGATGGGGAAGAAAACTCCAAAATGTCAGCAAACCATTCCTTTGAAACCATTCCTTTACAGCATGGTGTCACCATTTAAAACAACTCTCAACAGACTACTGTCAATACCTGTAGACCAACAAGATCAAGTTGTTTGTAGGATTTCACTATGTAAATAACACCATCACCAACACATTGCCTTACTGTTAACACAATCCATGGACATAATCACAATTATTTCTTTCGTGAATGCAGACTCAAGTGACAGAGACCTCTTATAAAATTGGGTTTACAAGTGTGGGAACCTCCCACATTCTAACACACAGCTTCACCAGTCTAACAGACAACAGACAACTCACACCTCATAACAGGACGAGGCAATATTTATATATCACTTGCAGTCCAGCCCTTTGGAGATCAACACAAGCACTAGCCAATCAGTGCTCATAATCACAGCTCCATCGCCAGCTCCGCCCAGCAGTAATGGTATAAAAATGCGGACCTCCAACTGGCTTATCATCACCCATGTGGAGGCAGAGTCGAATACCTCCACTGTGACCCTGCGAGTCATAGGAGGCAATGAAAAGGGAAGTCTCAAATGTGAGACAGTAAAATATGGTCGCAAGTACTATGGGACTCGGACCCAAGAAAGACTGCTCTGGCAAGGACCAGCAGCTTATACAAAAGACAGACCCATCCTCTTGTTAGAGGGCCCCCCACAGAAACACCACCATAACTGTCAAACAGTAATAAATATCTAGTCATGAGCTCCAGATTGGGCTCAACACCAAGATTTGATGACTGACTGACCAATTGTCAGTCAGTCAAAATGTGATTTTGACTTTTGGCTTATCATCAGTCCACCAATCACAGCCATCATAGCTACACTGACATCATGAAGCAGCCGCTGCCGTAACTCTCCAGTAACAGCGCCAGTAAACAGCCGACCCTGCCAGCTCCCGCACCGTAGGCAGCTGATTCTACCGGTGCATGCACCGCTATCCTGCCAGCTTGTAACTGCCGAGCGGCTGTAAGGAAGCCTCGGGCTGCTACAAGAAGATGCAATTGAACAGACGGCCCTTTTCAGGGCCTGCAATTTTCACTGTCACCGCCGGACCGAACTGGGCGCTACGAAAGGAGTCGTTGCTGATACTATTCAGACATGCTCCTGGCTCATCCATAATACGTGTCTTAAGTGCGATGGACATTTGTGGTTGTAGTTTGAAGTGGTTGTCTCAGCAAACATTGACATCCCACACAAGCATTTCATAAGTTCACTTCACAGCCAAGCTGTTCAGACAACTCACTGTATAAGCATAGAACCAGAGTTCAGATTAAAGACAGCTAAAGATGATAGCAAGTACTTAATAATTCGGTTTCTGAACCAGCCAATAATACTACGACATTCTTGGCAGAAGAGTTAAATTCTACAGCATTCACATTTCTTAACTTTCTGCTTTTGTGTTGAATGATCCACTCAGGCACTGATATGCTAATCGCTGTCCATACATGATGTAAAACTCTATGGCAGAATTTTGAAGAGTTTACTCTTTTAATTGCTATTTAGATTGTTTACCAGTAATCATGTAAAAGCGTTACACATGCCAAGTTATACCCATAAAATACGCTTCAGTGCTTATACAGAATATACCAAAGACTTACGTATTCACATAACTGACAACACATTAGGAAAAGGAATGTTAATGTTGAATATTCATTCTGACTGTTACAGTGTTTATGTGGAGTAAGTATCTGCCACTTTCTATAACAATAACACATTTACATTTGCATTAATTTTTGTCAATTTGTACAGTCTTATTAAACAACCAACCATAACTGGGAAACTAATTTCAAATGGCATCATCGTACAATTTGTATATCTGATATTATTTAATGTGTGTGAGACGTTTACACTTCTCCGTTTAAAGAGGAAACAAGAAGAATGAGCAACTTTTAATTATAAACAGGATTATGCGTTTAATGACTAGACTTCGAAAATAAACACTGAACCAAGACTGCCAGGACATGAAGTTTCTATAATATGGTGTGAAACAGGATAAAGCCTCTGTCTCCAAATTTCACTGAGTAAGTTCGGAACAGAAATGTTACAAACCTCTCATGACACATTAAACGGTAATTGCAGATTATATACATAAAATATTGGTTGCCTATTCCTATGATTTTTTATTCACATGAATGATAAATCATGTTTGGGAAGGAAGCAATCTTGGCTGATTTTAACATATTCCCCTGGCACTTTCTCAAACTGAGGAACATCCTGCAGAATAAACTGGAATGCAACAAAAAGACTTTCCAGAATGCGAGTTAGGTGTGCTGCTGTGACATGTACTCAAGAGAGAGCTCAGAGGAACTATTATATTATCTTGTTCCCAGTGCAGAGAATAACAAGTGCTTTTGGAAGTCATAATGGAGATTCAAAAGTGATACCTTTTATCTGCAACATCACCTTTCTTAGTTTGAACTAAGAGAACATATTGAAAGTTTGGTTGTGGACATGAGTATGAAAAATATGGATATATTAAAAATTAAGAGAAATGATAGTTCAGTACTTTCAAGAGTACAGGGTCTAAGACTGATAAATGAGACATAACACCATAAACTGTAACTTAAACTTGTCTCACACATACATACTGCACAGAAATTGATACTTGCATAAAAATATGATATTACTGAGAGGGATTTCCTAACACCTCAATAATCTGTTATAATAGAAAATACTATGAGATGAAATGTATGAACAATCTGAATGCTTCATGCTTCCTGTTTAGCAATATGCTCAAGTTTCATGCAGCAAGCACTTGATTTTTAATTCATGAAGATCTACTGTTTAGAGGTTAAGGAGAAATAAGAAGAAACTCACATTTCTAGTTTGTTATATCACAAAATTATTGCTAAATGAAAATAAAGAGTAAATTGCTTAAAATGAAGAGCAAGGAGATACTTATTCACTGGATTCATTCAGTCTAATTTGTTCCTCAATTACATACATAAAGAAATGAAGGAATTAAGGCTGCCATAATTTTTAAATACATTGGTACAGATAATTCACTCAGATATTTTTGATATTGGCTTCTACAATTTTCATCTCAAAAGCAGAACACTTTAAATCACTCGATTGTCCCTTATATTACCACAGTCAATAAGTTCGTGGAATGGCCGCAAAGCGTCGTTGCAGTGCACAACAGCAGATAGGTTGAGGCACGATATGATGCCCTGTTGGTTCATCTCTTGTCACAGCAAGAGGCAGTTGTGTGCAAACAGTGTAAGTAGAACTACAACCTCTATTGTGAACTGAAGTTAAATGCAAGTGGCAGAAATCGAAAATGTGGCAGTCTGAACAACGGGCAAACATCAAGTTCTGCCAAAAACTAGGCAAATCCCCTAGCAAAACATTTGGCGAAGGAAGAATTGGCAGTTGCTACATGACAGTGCCATTGCACATCCTTCTATTCTTGTCCAAGAGGAACTGGCAAGGCAACAGGTCACCGTTTTGCCAAACCCTACGTAATCACCTGATCTTGCACCATGCGATTTCTTGCTCTTTCACCGCTTGAAAGTAAAGCTACATGGTCATAGATTTCAGTCGTCTGAGGAGGTGGTCATTGCCACAATATCCTGCCAATATGTTTCAGCAATGTTTTTGGCAGCTATATCAACGTTGGCAGACTTGCATAGCAGCCAACGGCAACTATTTTGAGGGCCAATGTGGATCTGTGTAAGTAAGTGTATGTGAATACCTTGTAGTATGATGCAATAAAACCACATTCCACAAACTTAACGACTCTACTACGTATTAGCACATATGTACTGCAAACCATGCTTGAATTATTATGGGCAGAACTTTTAAGTTATTGGCTATTTTATCAAATAGCTTGTTATATTAGAGCACAACCACCTTTCATTCTCAAAGAAGAATCCAGGACTATAATGCTTTTTTAATATGTATGTTTTTAATATGTATGTTAAACAAATTAGTCATTAGGACAGAATGTATTAATAGTCATCACCAGTATCATAATCAGAACATGTATACATCACTTTTACTGCAAAAACTGAAGACTGTTTCACTTTTTATAAACTCCTGTATATACAAACGTCAGAGTGTGGACTACAGCGCTATAAGGACATTTTCCAAGGCTTACACGCATAGTTTAAGCCATTTTAAGATCACTTAATTTCACACTAAAGGTATGGGTCTCTGCTGGATAGAAGAATAATTAAAAAATAAGTTTGAATGTGATCTTAATATTTTGTATATTTACTTCTTTTCATAATACTGATTTCTTCCTAAAATGGGGGGGGGGGTTTACAGATGTCTGTCTTGTCCTCCCCTGCCAGTGTAGACTGAATTCACCCAGCTAAGGATAGGGTCCAGTGGTGGGCTCATAGTAATGAACTCTCAGGTTTCATAAAGGTGGGGAATTTCTTGATAAAATGAGCAATTATTAGCTTCCTGAGGAGTCTGCTCCATGGAGCTATCAAATGAGGACTCCCTCATAGCAGGAGCTATGAAGGTTTCTGACTAAAAGTGAGTTACTTCCTTTCCCCTCCCACCTCTTACCATGAATATTCAGTTATCACACAATAAAATGACATCCTGCAGCCTGACATCTGCCTGTAACACTATTAAATCACAACTCATCTTGAATAAAGTTTTACATTTATCATAACTCCTTTCCAGCAACAGTTGCATCTACATATACAGAATTTAGTTAATTTGCTTTGAGTATTACCATCACCATGACTAGGTGAAAGGAAAGCGTAATCCACAGCTAATAAAGACTGTTTACTAGAAACTAAACATAACTTTATACATAATAATTATTTAAACATTCAGCCACTGCTTGAAGAAACGTTAAAACAATTTATCAACACTCATCTGTATTCAGAACATGCAAATACTTTATTTTAATTGCTAGATTATCACAAAATGAACTTTGGCTTCCTATACTTAGTCCAATAAAATATGCCTTTGAGTTTAAGTAAACATAAAACATATTAAACACAAACAACATATATCAAGACGGATAACATTTTATGTCAACATTATTTCCACCAAAATTATATTGTGGAATAAAGGAAGAATGTCTGTCACTTACACAAACTGATACTTGTATAATGACTTCAATCTTTAAAACTGATTGTGTAAATGGATATTTTAGTCCTTGATTCTGAATGCTCTATGCAATTGGTAGAACAACCCACTGAGTACCTGGAATATTCTCACTTCCAGTGAAGCTTTATATGCATTCTAGTATCCGGCTCTTCGTCTGACCTGATAAAAAATCCTATTCTCTGACATGTATATATGCAATAAAAGCCTTGAACGCAACTGTATTGTGGAATTTGTTCAAAACTGAGCTAGTAATAAGCCTAAATTCCATTTCATACAGTACAAATTTGCATAACTGGTTTCCAGAGTCACTGTATACTTTCCAATGAAAACAAAGACCTATAAAACTTAACAGAAACATTCCTGAAATGTAACAGTGTGATATTTTTGATCTGAGGTTTTACAGCGGTGGCTGAGATATAATGTCATTTAGTCTGGTGAAAACCAACCAACATTTCAAAGGAATATATCGTCTTTAGCTTCAGGGTTGAAGACTATGCTCAACAAAAAACTAGCAGGAATGAGGCAGCAGCTACTTCTTCATTCTCATTTTTTGCTTGGCTTACTCTTTGACTCTGAAGATGAAGGCGATATTTTCCTCTGAAATGTTGGTTGACTTTCACTGGAATATGTGTATATGTCTTTATATTCCAGAAAATAGGATTCTGGATAGTAATGTCATACTTAAATGAAAATCTTCTATATGAACTAAACATTACGTGAGGCCCCTATAATACAGGGAAGCCCAGGTAATTTATTTTATCCTGCACACATTCTATGGCTAGTCCTCTATACCTAGATCAGTTATTAAAATGCAGTGAACACACTACCTGACTTATCCATGGTGCACTTTCTTGGAAAGTACAAGTCAGTCAATAATAAAAAGGGACAGCTATTGCACTTCAAACTTATCGTCTATTTTATTTAAAAATAGTGTTAATTCTTATGATCTAAAAGTAAGTCTGTAGGGCTTCTATGCTGAACTGAATGTAGCAACCATTATCACGGTACCAAGTCCTCCTTCAGAGGATGTAAGTCTCTTCATGTTACAGCAAAATTCAATCCTGAGACTGACAATTTTATGTTTCGGCAGTGTGGCAGTGTGCTGTTCCAATCATGTTGGTGTATCAAAAAGCTTGATAAAAATTTTAAGCCTAGATCTTTGAAAACTGTAACATGTACAGGCTCTTTGCCAAAAGCATGTTGAATGGAAAACCATCTTCATACAATCTTCACTCTGAGTCATATATTCTAAGGCTCTTTTGAGGTAAAACTGATGTCATCACACCAAATTACTGATCAACAGTGCAACAAGCACGAATATTTGGTGAGATTACACCATTTACAGGTCGAGTAAGAATGAAATATTAAAAATCAGTCAGGTTATCTATAGCACTAAATGCTAATTTATGTTTCTGTTCATGAGAGTCAGAGCAGAAACATAAAGAACCAGGTACAGTAGTAAGAAACATACTATCATTGAGCTAAATATCATGACATCTCTGTTCAGTGACTGATTTCTTCGATAAACGGCATCTAATTATGAGATGCTATACAAAATCATCATAACTTTTAAAACTTGCCAAGGTTCCCCATCTAGATGTAGAAGCAGAGGTGCAAAACTTTGGTGAGCATCCAGAGAAATGAGAAACTACTGCAGAATTCAAATAGTGCTGTAGTTACTGGAAAGTCTCCAGAGAGGGTGTGATTAAAAAATTTATTAAAAATCAGATCAAGAAACACTTGAGTAAATATAAAAAAGGTAACGAAACAGAAGTTTAAGAATCTAGAATGAAAATATTAAAATAATTATTAATGAAAATGAGAAGTTATCTGAATTATATTAATTCTAAAACAGCTGATAATGAAATAAAATGCGAAACAAAAATGTTGTCGTGAAAACAACAGTTAGGAAGGCAAATAAACACAAATGAGAAAATATACGTCAGAAATAGAGGACGATGTCCCTGCTAGACAGGACAAATAATATAAAATAACAAAATCTATCAATAAAACAGAAAAAGATAAAGTATGTTTAAATTCTATCACAAATGAGGAATGGAAAAAATTTTATGCAAACCTTTGGACTAATAAAGAACCAAAAACTGCTTTAATTAGCAAACGATGAAAATATGATAATTATGAAAATAATTAGAAATCAGTGAACCTTCTAATTATGGGCAAATTGACTGGTGAGAGAAGTCAGTATATAATGAATATGTAACACACGAAGAAGGAAAAGCAAGTGAGAAAATGTTTAAGGTAATAGGTAGCACAGAAGCGGACTTATAGTCTGATGCATGGGTGTGGTTATTGCAGATTTTCATAACAAGAATTTAGTCTTTTACACAGAGTGCATTTTTCTGGTGCCCATATTTTTGCACATCTGCAAGGATAGAGCATATCAAGCCAAGCAGGCACAAAGTGATAGATGTTTCTTTCAGAAAATGTTGGACGCAAGCTGAAGTTTCCACACTGACACTGGCCTCTTGAACACAGTCACCTGACCCTGTTCCTTACCTCCTAACACAAACATATACAAAGGGACAGAAGGCTGTGTGCCAAAGTAACTTACATGCTTCTCATCCTCATGTTCCTGGCTATGGCCAAACATATGCTTTTCTGCCCGACTTGCACTACTGGCTCTAGACTTCTTCCTCTTCTCAACACCCATTGGATTTGTACTACATGGAGAGCCTAGAGCAAGGAACTGTGGCGGTGCTCGTTCCATGAAGCTACTTCTGTTTGGAGTCGGACCCCCAGGTGTTGTGGCTAGGGATGGAGGTTGTGAAAAAGAAGAATCTAAGCTTTGTAGTTCCATGAGTTCTTCCTGGTAGAACTGTCTGCTTATGCTGCGTCCACTCGCATCCTCCAGTACACTGTCTGGTGGACTGTTGAGGAGTCGAGCGTAAGTCTGGAAGTTCTGTTTGTTTTGTGGAACACTGCTGTCATTTTCACTTGATGTGGGTGTAGTAACATGCCAAGACTTCCTTTGGCCTGCTGATGCTAGAATGGTCTGTATATCAGGCCCGAGATAGTTAGGATTGCAAAAACCAAACTGACCCTCTCTGTTAGGCGTCTTTGCTTTTCCATTATTTTTCTCCCTATATTTTCCCATTCCATACTCCTCATTTTGTTGGTATGACAGGAACTGATTTTCAACAGGACTTGATTTATTGCACATGCTGTAAGTACTGGCAGATGCAATGCGATTTACTGCTTCAATGCTGGCGTAGTCTGAAGTTGAGACGGTTTCATCCAGTGTTTCCTCCAATTCAGTAACAAGCTGCCCTCCGCGGAACCTGACTGATGAAGACTTAGGTATCCCACTTGTCTTCCCAACATTCTGATAAACAGGAACCGATGCTGCTTCATCTTCTGTAGCTACAATGTGTGAAGTGTAGCTCTCACACGGTCTCTTCACACTGTCTCCAAAACGTGGCTGGAACTGCTGGTGGATTACTGAGAAATCTCTCGAATTTCCAGAAGATGATGACAAGGGTTGCACTTGCATTATATGACATTTGCTACCATGAGGAGAATCCTGAGAAGCGAAGACATCTTCAGTCTCATTGTCATCATCAGTATCCACAAAGACAAGCTGTGTTACTTCTACTGGGGTAAGAACAGGAGTAGGAAATGATGAGATGGCTCCAAAATTGGGCACTGAAATAGGATCTCTTGGTAAAACTCCACACTTACTGTCACCTACTGGTGCAACAGACACTTTCTTTCTCACATTTGGAAGACCTTTAGGGCATCCAGTATGGTGCTTCATAACAGATGCAACCTCTACACTGTCTGGCCTTTGGAATTCATCTGTGGTACTAGGAGAAGTTGCAATAGAAATTTCTTGCTGCCTTCTCCTGGATATGATATTGGCACTTTGAGATTTGACCATTGTGTTTTTACTGGGTGTCACTTGATTCGTACCCTCCTCACTCCCAGTGCACTGCTGGTGTAACAGACTCTCTGTACTGTCATCATGACTGCTGCTACTCAAAACACTGTAACTACACTTATGGTGACTAAGCCTGGACAAGTTGATCTGAGAGAGTTTCGATATTTCACGGAGAAAGCTACTAGCAGCCTGAGTTTGTCCTGAGAGTGTGGATGCCACTGCACTACTCTGTTGACCACCGTAACATCGCCTTGTTCCACAGCCAAATTCTTGGTTCACATTGCTACCATTTGTGGAACTCCCATCCACATAGTTGCCAGGTGTAGGTTGGAACACATACTTCCTTTCACATGGCGAGACCCGATTGTTTGGGTGGTAGGTTGTGTGTCGTGGGTTGAGGCTTGTGCACCGATCCACTGAGCCCCCTCCTCGGGAGCGGTGGCTGCGGAGACCATGGGAAGATGCTGATGAGATCCCACTGGATGTCACCAATGCTGTATCACCAAAGTGGCTCTGACAGCAGAAGGAATCTTGCAGGAGCAACTCTGAAACTGCCAGTGCCACACTCTCTGCCCGAGGCTGTGGTCTCGGACCCTGAATCTGGAGTCGTTCCCATGTCTCTGTACCTGGGCATAAAGTATTCATTTATTGGTGTGATTAAATATTTAAAATGCACTGTGTGCATATACATTCTCATTTCAGACTCAATAATGTAACGTTTTCATCTCGCAATATACCAATATGCACGAATTTGTTCTGGTTCTCGGAACAGAGCGTGATAATTTTCCAAACTTTATTAACTGCCTGACTTCTTGATGGAGCGTTTTCTTTGAGGCATGAACCAAATGTTTAAATATTAAACAGAAGGGCTACTTTATCCAGGAAAATGAACGCCTATTAGACATTTGGTTGGATTTTGAGCAGGCCACAGAGAAAGTATGGATGTTTTGGTGAAGGGAAATCTCTACTTCTGACAAGAATCTGACTCTCGTAATCCAGTGTTTAATTAGTTACATTAGTGCAAGAGATATCCTAGCTCACATGCATCATGCAGACAAACATGAAATGCCAAATTAATTTCAAATTTGAATTAATTATTGATATAAGTAATATGGTATCTCTGTTTTTGGAAAGAGAGATACCATATATGCGAGATGTTTCCTCTGGAGGCAAAACAATCCGGAGGTAAACTACTCCCCCAATCGGATCTCCGGGGGGGAGTGTTTCTAGAGGAAATGTCATGCAGGCGTTACAACAAGAAAAAGTGCGAAGATCAGAAGAAACAGCATGGATACAAGATTGGAACATGGAATGTCAGGACCTTGAATCAAGCAGGAAAATTGGAGAATTTGAAAACGGAAATGCAGAAGAATGAAGTGTCTGTTCTAGGTGTCAGTGAAGTGCGGTGGAAAGGACAAGGTGAAATAAGAAGCGGTGATTATACAGTGTATTATTCCGGAGGTGAACGGGCTGAAAGAGGTGTGGCAATAGTGGTGCATAAAAGTGTAGTGAGGAGTGTTGTTAAGAAGATTGCTTGTAATGACAGAATTATTGCT